CCCAGCTTAACTTCACCCAGCAGCTTTACCTCCACCAGCAGCTTTACCTCCCACCAGCTTAACTCCCACCAGCAGCTTTACCTCCACCAGCAGCTTTACCTCCACCAGCTTTACCTCCACCAGCTTTACCTCCACCAGCAGCTTCTCCTCCACCAGCAGCTGTGGCCCCTTAAAAATGAATCCACCAACCAAACGGCGGTTTTGAAGGAATCATAGTTTGTTTCCTCAGTTAAGGATTATTTCTCCTGTTTCTGTTCTTTGACGCAGTAAAACGTTTCATGAAAAAGGGAAATTCAACAACATTTTGTCTCGTTCAACAACAGGAGCAAAGCAGAAGTGAATGAAGCAGCAGCGTGAAGATGGACGGCGGGTGAGGGAAGCACTCACGCAGGAAGTACTCGGAAGCATCCGCCACATAATCCGCATCCTCGGGGAAGTGGTCGATCTGCTTGCACATCCCTTTGAAGGAACCTGCGGGGAGGAAAGAACAGACGTTACGGATGGCGGATGGCGTCTGACCGCGTAGGACGCGTCTGTCAACGTGCCCCCGTGCTTCTCACAGCGAAGACGCCAATGACAGATGGAAGAAGGTGGGCGGGAGATGGGCAGAAAGGGGGCGGGACGAAGGAACCAAAAAGGCGCGAGGCGCACGTGTGAGACACAACGGACGGCGTGTTCATCCACCGCCGCCCCGACGAGGGGAGAGGCCGCCGAGCGGGAGGGAGGAGGAGGACGCGTCGGAGACGAAGAGACGGCGAGGACGACGTGTGAGCCGCTCCGGAGGAACGTGACGGACAGAAGAGGACGTTTAATCCAAACGCCTCGACAGAGCCGGTGGGCGGCGAGGAGAGATATGCAAATTAAAAGAGAGGAAGGAGGGCTGATGGCGCGCTCGTTAAGGGGGACTGTGCGTGCGTGTGTGTTTAGGTCGGTTGTGCGGTTGTGGGTAATTGTGTGTCCTCCCAAACGTAAACAGGCCTGTTTAACGCTCACGTGTCTTTATCGTTCCTGGACGGATGTTAAGATCATTGCACCAGCAGGCGGCCATCTTTCCCGTGTTTTGGGGCGTGCAGTCCTGCCGCGGGTTCCTTCGAGCAGCGTCTTGGACAACGACAGCTAGCTGCTGACCGCCTGTTGTGCGCATGCGAGCGAGGCCACAAAGACTCGTCTTCCCCCAGAAGCCCCCGTGGAGCGTGAAGGTCACGTTTAGGATCAGCAGGATCACTTCCCGTATGACACTAATCCATCACTCCCTCCACGCCGCCGCCACGCGTTAAAAACCGCTGTGTGGGAGTCTGTGTTCACGTAGTCTGTATTACTGTTGCTCCATCATCACGGAGTCACAGCGCCATGCTGCAGCGTTGTGTAGTTGTGTAGACGGTTCTTGTGATTTCTCTGCGATGAGGCGTGTGAGACTTTTATTAGAAATTTCCAAAAAACGTATTTCTGGCTTTGGGGACACGGAGTTCTGGGTCGGCTGATGAGACTTCATCTCAGAAAACACCGACCTGACAAGGTGTGTGTGTGTGTGTGTGTGTGTGTGTGTGTGTGTCTTTGGAGATGAAACAAAAGTTTGTCCCCACTCGACGTATTTGAGACATTTTCAACTGGAACTGGGACACGAATGTGAGCAGCAAGAATAATTAAAGACAAAAGGGGCCAAAACGAGCAGCGTTTATGAGTCAGTTCATCCCGGTCGATGTTGATGCGCTCACATACATGTGCTCCTGTCACCCCCCCGCTGTGTTCAGACACACACAACACACATTCAAACCAATACTTTCAAAATGGTGTCCGGTTGCTAGGAGATGTGCTGAGCACCAGGTAGCGTGGAACACTTCACGTCAAACACACTCAGTGCCGGGCAGCATCTCCAGCATCTCCATCATCTCCAGTATCTCCAGCATCTCCATCATCTCCAGCATCTCCAGCATCTCCATCATCTCCATCACCTCCATCATCTCCATCATCTCCAGCATCTCCATCATCTCCATCACCTCCATCATCTCCATCATCTCCATCACCTCCATCATCTCCAGCATCTCCATCATCTCCAGCATCTCCATCATCTCCAGCATCTCCATCATCTCCATCACCTCCATCATCTCCAGCATCTCCATCATCTCCATCACCTCCATCATCTCCAGCATCTCCATCATCTCCATCATCTCGTCTGCCTCGCTGCCTCCAACTCACACCCTCCCACGCTCTCTCTCTCATGCATACATTTGAATGAACCCCCGAGGACCAGATTCCCCTTTGAACTGAGCTGGCAGCTCTGCGCTCCTCTCCCTTCCTCCTCTTCTTCCTCCTCTTCCTCCTCCTCTTCCTCGTCTCTCTCCCTTTATTCTTTTTCAATTCAAATTAAAATGCTTTATTGTCTCGACAGGAACGAAACCTGTGCAGACCGAAGCGCTACGTCATCATCTCAGATGGAAACAGAGTATTTTCTCTGTGTGGACGTCTCACATGCACACAAACGTTCTTCGGTCAGCTGCGTCTTTCTGTCGCATGACGTCTGATAATCAGGGTCAACCAGTTTACTTCATGCTTTAATTGAGATTCCAGATTTACAGTTTGTTGTTCAAACTGAGATGATTCTAGAAAAGCTCGTCCTTGTATTTCTGTGTAACAACTTAGAACAACAAAACACTGATGAGGAACTTCTGATGTGATCGACAGATGTCAATAATTAACCGAATGGTGGCTAAATGCCATTTAACAAGTTAGTAAGTTTCAATGTCAGAGGCGTCAATAATTACTTACACATGTGACCATTACAAGTGTTCTTGTACCTGACACATTGTGAGGACCAGACGGGCGTCCTCACTTCTTTGAGGTTCCAGACGTGGAATCAGCTGACATTAAAAAGCTTGGTCTTTTCTTTACTGTGAGTCTTAATTCATCCAGGAGAGCGTTTTCTCACAGGTGATGGTCTTTTTCTGCCCTTTAGGTTCCTGATCTGTGCTAAACGTGGACATCCGGGACATGTCACGGAACTCTAAGCTGCCTACAGCACCAAGTCTCCTACTAAAAGACGGCCTGGGGACTTCAAGTGGACAACATACATTAAAAAATATATATCATACGCAGAGCATAATAAAAGATGCAGTTTCTTTGCATGAGAATCCATCCACGACTCGTCCTTGAAATGGTTGTTTGACCGTTTTGTTTTGTTATTCCCAGGGAGTAAAACCTGATATAATGAATAATATAATATATAATAATTTGTAATAATGGAACAAAAGGGAGACATCTTGGTTATGGCTTCTTTTTTCTAGGCTCAGGGCTAAAAGTCTCGCTCCTCGTTGTGTGATGATTTTTGTTCTCTCCACACTGCATTAAACCATATGAATCCGTTTATTCACCCGCTAATACACAAACACAATTCTATTGAAATCAACTGAAAGAATACAATGAATGTAAAATGCTTAATCTTCAGCTCCTGGTGCATTTCAGAATAAAACATGTGTTGCAGGCCGACTTCATTAAACTTTGTGTGCTGTATTTCATTTAAATCTTTGAACCCACAGCCAGTTCACATCCGACCACACAGAGACCTGTTTAAGACCCTTGTAATACATGTGGAATTAGATTCTCACACGACTTGCCCCGCCTAATTTAGAGTAAGCTATTACTTTTGCTATCAGCAGGCATGTACGTGTACGGACACACAACATGTGAATTAGTATGATTTATAGTTGTGACGGGCAAAGACAGCGGGCATGTTTTTCCGCTGAGAGAAAATCCTCTGTCCTGCTTTGATTGTGGTGAGACCGTTTGTTGTCGAGTAGCATGTAATGTAATGACATGTGATGACATGAAATGACATGTGATGACATGCAATGACATGTAATAACATGTAATGACATGTTATTACATGTAACGACATGTTATTACATGTAACGACATGTTATTACATGTAATGACATGTTATTACATGTGATGGGATGCAATGACATGGAATAACATGTAATGACATGAAATAACATGTTATTACATGTAATGATATGTTATTACATGTGATGACGTTATTACATGTAATGACATGTTATTACATGTAATGACATGTTATTACATGTAATGACATGTTATTACATGTAATGACGTTATTACATGTAATGACATGTTATTACATGTAATAACATGTCATTACATGTGATGGCACCCAATGCCATATGATGACATGAAATAACATGTGATGACATGTTATTACATATGAGGACATGTCATTACATGTTATTTCATGTGATGACATGTAATGAATGGCCTGGGCCCATTCAGTGGATTCATGTACCTGCTCGGGGTTCTGGGTCATTTTAAAGCAGACGTGTCAAACCTTCCCTAACAGAGTAACCAACAATCCACCTGTAATTCAACCTGTTGGTTTGAGCATCCACCTCAGTCTCCTGCTCCTGTGTGCTGCTCCTCATACTACGTCACCTCACTTTGTCCAACGCTCCATTCAGAATCACCGCGGCCACCACCTTCTTAGACAAAGATGGAGAAGACCTTTCCCTCCCCACCCATCGGCGCAAAAACACCACTTAAATGTAAACATTTCCAGACAGGATTTGGAACAAAAAGGGGTCAAACATTTAAGACATTTGCAGTTAACCACGCTGTCCCCCTCCCTCAGCCCCCCCACGGTCCCTCTATCCTGGTTGTGTTTAGTGAAATGTGCGGCGGTGTTTTCCTCCCAACCTCGTTAACTCCTCCGCCACAGAGGGGGAGAGAACACGGAGAACAAGGAGAGAGGAGGTAACAAAGAAAGAGGGAGCGAAGGAGACGACGAGGTGAAGGAAGCGAAGAGAAGCCCTCGATGGCCGAGCGGCAGATGTTGGGTCCTGCGTGACGTCGCACCAGGCCGCGTTAAGTGGAGCAGCTACCTGCCCTCATTCTGCAGCTCCGCGTCGCATCCAGGAGCACGCCGCCACGGAGGTGATTCATACCATCACCACTCAGGCGGCGCATTGCAACCGACAGCAGAGCTGGAGGAGCTCAGTGTGTGGAGTTAAATCTTCACATTTAATCTCCTTGGTGTCTCACTCAAACGTCCCCTTCAGTTCATTTCGATGAGGTGGAAAGTCTGATCCTGCGCCGTGAGCCGAGAGGTCTTCAGAATCTCCTCCTGACCCGTGTGGCCTGTGAGTGAACCTGAGGCCACACAGTCGGCCAACGACTCTCCCCCCTCCTCCTCCCAGCTCCTCACCCCTCTTTCTAGGCCTCGGCAGCTGTGTGTCGGGACATGAAGCCTTCTGAGATATCGTCTCTCTCCTCTCGCGTCCGTCCCACTTCCTTCTCCTTCACTCCTCCCTCCAGTTGCACCTCCACGTCTCCTCGCATCCTCCACGCATCGCCCTCCCCTTAACCCCACCTTCACACCCAGCAGCTTCAGGGTTCCACCCCTCCGGGGTTAAGGCCCGCCCCTTAACCCTGCAGGCCGCCTGGTGACGGAGGTGCACGCATGTGAAAAAGCCACATACGATGCAGCTGTGCACGTCTGTGCTTTGTGTCCATGCAGGTACGAGACATGATGGGGGGGGGGGGGGGGAGAGTGTGACTCATCCACTGGATGGGCCTCTGGCTCCCCCCTCTCTCTCTGCATAGCAACGGGTTAAATAGGTCCCTAGCCACCAGCGCTCACACGTCAATGGCATAAAACTCTCCCTTCACCGGGTCGGAGGGTTCCGGGGGAAAACACGTCGCCCCCCCCCCCACCACCAAAGCGCCCGAACCCCCCGCCGACCCGCCGCTGATCTCCAGGAATATTTTCAAACGTGTTGCTGTGTAAAACGTATTTTGTATTAAGCAAAAACTGACACATTTTCTTGGACTTTTATTCTGAAAAGAGGAGTAATGTTAAGACTTGAGGCTCCTCAGACCCGTTGAGCTTCAGCATCACTCTCGCCTCCCTCCCCCTCATACAGATGTTGCTGCCGGTGCAGATGTTGTTTGGAAAGCTTTCTCCTGTACACGTCCTCCTTCACAAATGTTGTTTGCCACCCGTCTTCTCCTCCGTCTCCTTCCCTCTCCTCATCCCCACCCCTTTGTCCTCCACTTCTCCAGCTACGCCTCCTCTTCCTCGCCACATCTGCCGCTTCGCCCCTCCCTCCTTCCGTCCTTCGCTTCCTTAGAGTCCCGCCACAGACTCCTCCCCTCCTCCTCCCTTCCACCCCTCTCATCCAGATGTCTGAGGCTCATCAGGGGCAACGTGGCCCTCAGCTCCGCTCTTAGTGATGGTGAACCGGTTCTTCAAGAGGCGCTCTGGTTCCATGAAGAACCTTTATCTATCGCATGGTTCTACCTTCTTCTCCGGCACATCTTCAGGCTGGAGATGCTGGATGCTGAGGGGTCGTATCAATTTTGCAAAGAAAAACATTGGAAAAAAGTTCTGGCAAGAACAATATTTTCTTTAAGTTCTTCAAAGAACCAGTTAAGGTGTTTTTTGGGTTATTTAAAGTATTTGAGAAAAGAGATCTGTAATCTGTGAGGTTCTCACTGCCGTCCTTTGGCTTCTATTGGAGGTCAAAGACCAAAGTGAGGGTCACATGACGAGGTGCCGCATGAAGTACCGGGATCACTTAAATAAAGGCTGAAGCTCGTGGTTCTTCTCATGATTCATGATTATGTCACAAGCGACGAGAAGGAGAAGCCAGATGGGAGAATTGAGCTTTAACAACCAGCTGGATGTATTTTGGTCTCTAAACTGTGAAGGAAAGGAGCTCAGTGTCCTTCAAATGCTAATTGCATGTAGCGTTAAACCGAAAGACGCTTGTCTCCGTCTGAGGACAGGTGCTCATTAATTATTCAGTTTGACTCATTAGCAGCAGAGAGAACTCAAACATCACAAAAAGGTTTCCTGCATTGAGAAGATACCAAAAGCTAAATGTGGGACGTCTTCTATTCGAGTACTTCAGATACATGTCATGTGTATTTGGTGTGGATGCACTTTAAACACGCATGCGTTGACTGCATATCCACATTTACAGGCTGTTTGTACCAGTTGGTACCAGTTGGTACCAGTTGGTACCAGTTTGACCAGGACCAACGTAAGCGAGACATCGCTGAAGTCTGTACGAGATCGACATCAACGAAACTGAAACTGGGTCTTTAAATGAATAATACAAAAATATAAAATACAGTTTTAATTGATTTCATCGGTGACTTGACTTTATTGTTTAGAGAATGTTAAAAGTGCAAATATATATGTGAGTATTTATACATAAAGTTGTATATTTTAGCTATAAACGGGGATGCTTTGGGGCGGGGCTACATGCTGATTGACAGGTCTCTGCGTCCTCCTCAGTCCTTATATGGGCAGTACATGTTCACAGGTTGTAAAGAGAAGAGCAATCCAAGATGTCCACGTGTGTCCCACCGACGGGGGACGACCGCGTCCACCTCCCACATTCGATCGGATGGGACGTCTCCTCCCCGTCTTCCCGGGTGGAGACCAGCAGAGGACCTCGCCGGCTCCCCGCTGAGCAGTCGCTCCGCTCCCGATGACCTCCCGTGTCTCCTGCCCGTCAGCACGCGTGGTCACGCAAACAAACGCACAACAGGGCGATCGGACCTCAACTCAGACCCGACAGGCTTCCCGTCGCCACAATCGAGGGTCCCGGTGCGCGAGAGGACGAAGGCGGCGATGTTTCATGTGGGATTCATCGGGTTGTATTCGCATGTTTACAACAGAGGCCTTTGACTGATGTTCAATTGTGTCTCTTAAAGAACATATCTGATCAGACAGCAATTAAAAATATAGAATTGTGGTGTTTTTACCCCCAAAAAACACAAAAATAAATCACAAAATCAATCCTGTTTCAACAGGAACAGAACAAAAGCCCAAAGACGTTGACATTGTTTGTCTCACTACCGGGTCACGATTAATACGACTTAATGATCGCTGAGCTTCGACCGCAGTCCGTCAGCGGGCAAAAGCGTCTGTGGCGGCGGAGCCGTCGACCTCGGGGATAAACAGCGTCTTCTCAACTGATGAATGCAGATGGAACTATTAGAAGCTTCACCTGAGACCCTCTGCGTGCCAAGAAGCTTATGAACGTGCTTTGTGATAAAACCGCCAGAAGCAAATTCATTCAAATTCAAGTCATATTTTTAGTCTCCTCTGCGCA